CAGTGTAGGTCAGACCACTGCTCCCCCTGCAAATCCTGATGCCTCACTTGCAACAGTACAGCCCTAGGTGTGTCTGCCACAAGACCCCTGACATGATCCAAGTTAAAATTAAACCTCCATCATAAAACAAAACAAAGACCTTTGGTGTTTATTTTTATCCCAGATCTTCCTGCTGATCTGCTTTGCAGCACCACACAAGTCATTGTACTGGCAAAGTGAAGGAGCTGAAATGCAGCACCATTATGGGGATGAGCGGCTGAGGACAGAGGAGGTGTGGTGGAAACTCCACCACTGAAGCCAGGGTCTCATGACACCATATTTTCACATTACTGGAGCTTAGGCTGCTCCTGATTTCTGGCAGCAGAAGTCTGGTCTCCTTTGCTATGAACTCCCTAATATTTGCCTTCTTTAAAAGATAGATTTAAAAAAAAAAAAAAAAGACAAAACCAACCAATCAAAAAAGCCAAGGCTAAATAGCAAAACAACCACAGAAAGGCCTTATAAAGGCTGATTTTTTTAGTTTTGTATGCAGATACATACTCCCCCCAATAGGTAAACCTGGGCTGATTTGTCATCCCAGTGGTTTGAGGAGGTTGTTCACCATTCAAAGCCAATCCAGAAATCTCCTGTCACTTCATAGGTGATGCTCGGAGACACCTTCTGTGAAGGACATGTGTAAAGGCAAGCAGCCATAAGAGACCTGGAGCAGCCAACACCGTCTGGTATGCCACACCTGAGATTCTCTCGTGGTGCGAAAAAGAGGGAGATCCTGCTCCCTTTCCCAGAAGCTCTTTTATGTTTGCTACAGTTAACAGTAGCTTTATTAAAGATTCCTTACGATAAGTTTCAGAGATCTCATTAATCACCAACCTGAGAACATTACAATGATGAGCTGCAAAAGGCATGAGCAAATCACTCATAATTACCAGTTTTAGGTGCTGCTCTCCAAAACTTGATTAGCTACAGATGCACAGGTGATATTTCCTACTGTCTTCTTTATAGCACACCCTCGCTATTATCCACTCTAGTCTGATTTAGGTTCTTATTAGAATAACATTGTGCTAATTAAGTTATCGCACACACAGAATGTTTCATGATGGAGATGATTAAGTGGGTTAGATGACTAATATTGCAAACTGTCCTATCAGTGTCAGAGAAACTGGTGAGGGATGCACACAAAAATGAACTCCTTGCTGTCATCATACATCCCAACTGTGAACAGAAATGAAAAAAAGCAATGAAAAGCGGAGCAATAATAAACCTATTTTTTAGAAAACCATTGCTAGAAAATGTAAACATTCCATTGAAACTGTTCTCTGAATGGCTGAAATCACTGAAATTGCCCATAGGAGTGAACTCATTTCAAGTACATTATTAAGATTAAAATTTGCCCCTACTAATATTTCTGATGTATATATTGAACAGGCAGGTGGTGACGCTGCCCTCCTCTACCATATACCTTAAATTTGAATGCTCAGTGCATCTCTGGATGCACATATTCCATAATACCTGAAACAAAAGAGAGCCTTAGAGGAGGTGCTGCTCTTCTCAAGAGCCACACCACAGCAGTGCTAGAGCAGCAGATGGCTATGCTTTCATCTTGCCATCCCATTGGGATCCAGGGACATACTCAGACAAGCCTAAAGTTCCAGGTGCATCCCCAGCCAGAACCTGGGACATGTGCACTGTCTTTGAAAGGGTTTCTGTCCACACCATGTGCAGAAGCATGAACATACTTTCACTGTTGCCCAATGATGTCTTGTTCTCTTATTCCTCACATTGCACATTTAGATCCAAATCATGCTTGATCAACCCATTCAAAGCATCATTTCATTCCAGCATGAGCATTTCAGCCCTTCTTCCTTCAGGGGAAAAAAGCACTTCCAAAAAAATGCTGAAGTTAATTTAAGAAACAAACTTACCAAAAACGTGAGGGCTGCCAGGAATTCTTAGTTATCCACAGAGGTTAAAGTTTTATTTTTATATAAAAATTAAATAGCAAACTTGCTTTGGGTTTTTTTTACAGTGATAAATTAGAAATTTACAGTACATACATTGAAGTAGATATATTTTTTGTACACCCCAAAATAATCAGTGTCTATTTCCTTAAAATTCAGAAAAAGGAACTAACATGTCTGTTTAATGTAAGAGCTAAGCTTGTACCTCTCAGGCAGACACTTCCAGAACCTGCAGTGAGAAGAGCACATGCTGAGGGGGGAGATGGGAGCAGGGACTGCGTAATCCAAGGAAATGCCTGTAAAGTTTCTAGTTGTATAACCACAGCAACTGCGTTTCCAAGACAGGATTAGTCACACTGGTTTTGGCTTTAAATTCATAACAACGCTGAGATAAGAGAACCCAAGAGTTGCTGGTACCTACCCTATAACCACCGGTTTTTCGGCTACCTGCTGTGACTTCCCACTCATACAGACATAAAGTGGAGCAAGGTAAATGCACATGGATGAATGCATTTATGGAATGGTTTAATTGCTGCAACAACTAATTTCACTTTGGGTCAGTACAGCTTGCCCCCGACTGCTGGGGGAAGATCTTTCTTCAGGAATAGCAGCTGGTGTCTCCCCCCAGCCCACCTCCTTCCCATCGCATTTGAGTTGCTCACATGCTTTAAATGGGATAATCCCCCAGGTCCCTCATAGGGCTACTCAGTGCCATCCTCATCCAACTCACATTGTCTCACAATACCAGGGGCATCCCTCTGTCACAGTTCACAGGGTCACAGGCAGAGATGCAAGGATTTGACAACAAGGTACTACTTAACATTCACTTCTGTATAAATAATGTGGATAAAACTTCATTTATTGAATCAGTCTGGTCAAACACGGGTCATATCAGCCAGGAAAGTATCCAAAGTGTTTCAGAGTGAGGGACACTTGAGTGAACATGACACCTTGGCACAGCCCAATACCACTTTACCAAAAAAGACTCATACTGCATCCTCCCTCTTTGAAAGCCAACATATAGCTGCTGACTTTACATTCCTTGCTGCACCAGCACAAAGACTGCATGATGGAGAAGCTCAGCCACCTGAAGATCTCATACTTGCAGAACTCCTTGTCCACAAAGGCATAACCAGACCCAAATACAACACTAATAGCGAGAGACTTTATGGAGAGGATGAAAAGGCCTGGCTGGAATGGAGCGTTGACCAAGACAACGCTTATGAGTCTTGAGTAGAATGTGCCAAGTTGTCACTTGTTCTGCTGGAGAGGGAGCTCAGCCATTAGGGTTTGGTTTTTAGTTTAAAAAAAGAAGTACTCTAGCACATGTTTTGACACTGACACTGAAACAATACATGCTTGGACATATTAGCGTTCACTTCCAGCGCTGGAGTGAACTGTGGTTTGGGAAGCACATGGGCACCTGTGTGAAAAGCAAGTACTTTAATAAAGCAACATCTGTTCTCAGCTGCCCTTGAAGGTCGTGTGAGTTGGGACACCAGAGGGAATGCTCTGCAGCAGATCAGGTTCACACAAAGAAATTAAGTAAAACTTTAGAGCACACACATAAAACCAAAGGTCTTTCAAAGGGATAGAACATCAGAACAGTGTTCTCTTCAGTGCTTCTGGGGTATTTCTATTTGTATCATCTTTCTTATTAGCCAAACAAGTCCCTGACACTAGGTTCAATCTCCCAATAAGAACAAGCTGATGCCTCCTCAAACAAAAGGGTAAGAAAACTCAACAGTTGCTTTGAAACAACATTATTCACCAAGAAGTTGGATCCCTTTACAAAAACTGGAAAGGTCTTTGTTGTTCCTGAGGACTGAATGCCTGCTCACATTCTGTGTGTAAATATACATTAAAAAAACCCCTCTCCATAGCCACCAGTGAGCAACTGAAGCATCATTGTGAGGCAGTCAGCTGTACTGCAATGTCATGGGCTGAGAATGTTCTTTTAATTGGAACTGACACACATAATTATACAACTGATCTGTGTGAACATGAGGTTGCCAAGGAACTTAGCATTTTGATTCTCCCCAGACTGGTGTCTGCAGAGATACCATCACACTGAACAAAATATATTAAGACTTAATTGCTTTATGCAATGGGTCTCCAGAGAGAGACAGGTAAGTTTACTTGGAGAAAACTGGCATTGTTTAAAGGTAGCCTCAACTCCTTTTTTCTCTTTCCTTGAGGAAGGAACACTATATTGTAAGACTTTATTTAAAGTTATTAAATGCAGCGGAATAAAGTAGTCTTCTGGAAATAGCAGGAGCACTTGAAGGGACAGGAATGGAGGCAGATGGATAATAATAATTGATGTAGAAGACCATACACAGTTTCTCACTTTCTGCTGAGTCCTCTACATCTGACATTGGCCTTGAGTAAAGCTTTTAAAAAATTAGAAATATTCATAGAATCACAGAATAAATCAAATGTGAAGGGATGCAGGGAGGTCCAAATTCCCATGTGGCAGAATCAACACTCAATTCAGACCAGGTTACAAATGGTAAAAAAAATGAGTTGAAATTATTATTAGGCCATCAGATGACTTCAAGAATAATCCTCACTAATACCTCACTAAATCCTACTCATCATGGGTAAAGCTCAGACCTGGAAAGCCCACTTGCTATTTGTTGGAGGACTGATCCTTGGCTGACTTGTGCAGTGTATGGGAACAACAGAATTCCCCAGCGCATAAAGACATAATCCTCATCAAATGCTTCCTTCTCAATGCTGAACTAGGAAAGAAGACATCTGACTGAGGTCCTGGGTACTCCACCTTCTGGTAACTGGACCCTAAATAAGCCCAGAATTTGGCCCTGGACTGCCTTTCCTCCATCAGCTATAAGACGATGAAAGAAAAACATCATCCCACAGCTGTGGGCTACAGCCCCTCAGCTTCTAAAGACTTCAAGACTTCAGTAATTGCATCCTGCTTTAAAAAATAATAAAAAAAAAGGAAGATAACACGTTTGTGTATTTCACAGCTTTTAAAGCCTCCCTGGGCTCTCCTATTTTGGGCAGCATGGTTTATGGCTATTGTATCTGCAGCGTGATCTTTTTGCTGTTTATTCTTTAAGGCTTTTTTTTTTTTTTTTTAATCCCCCAGAGAAAGGTTGTGTAACCGTCTCCCTATTCTATTCCCAAAATTTACATGGCAATGCTTACACACCATCAGTCCTTCACAGGAGAGAAGTCAGACCATTGGGGTGTCGTCTTTTCTCAGACCACAGTCTCGTTCCCTTTTCCGGGTTTCACCCAACCATCTCCTCTCTTCTCCCGTTTCACTTTCCCTGAGTTCACCAGTCTGTTCGAGCACTTCTGCCACGTGTGCAGAGTTTTGGCTGACCAGATCCACATACCTGATGTAATACCCACCAGAAGGGACATGAAAATTTTGAGCATCTCCACTGCCATATTGGAATCATCTGCTGAATAGCGGAAAATGGCCCAGTTGGAGATTTCATAGAAATAACAGGCGATGACACATGTTGCTGGGACGGTGTACAGCACTGAAAAGACACCAATTTTGACCATTAGTCTTTCCAGTTTGTCAGTTTTAGTTCCATCTTTCTGGAGATTAGACCTGATTTTAAATAAGGCCACGAGTCCCGCTGCAATGAATAAAGTCCCAATGACCAGGTAGGTAAAAAGCGGAGCGACGACAAAGCCTGTCAGCGCGTCCAGGTTCTGGTTCCCAACATAGCAAAGGCCGGTGAGCTCATCTGCATCTACTAGTCTCATAATTAAAATGACGATGGTCTTCACCGCCGGGATAGCCCAGGCTGCAATGTGGAAATACGAGCTGTGCATTTCAATAGCTTCGTGGCCCCACTTGAGTCCTGCAGCCAGAAACCACGTCAGTGTCAGAATAACCCACCAGATGGAGCTAGCCATCCCGAAAAAGTACATCAGCAAGAAAATTATAGCACATCCTGTGTTCTTAAGACCTTCTTGGATAAGAACAGGTTCTGCTGCCTCTTCAAAATCACAGGATATCCTTTCCCGGCCCACAGTTAGCCTCACAATATAAGCAATGCTATAAATATTGTAGCACATGCTCAAAAATATGATTGGGCGCTCCGGGTAGGAAAATCTGGATGAATCAATCAGGAAGGTCAGGACCGTGAAGGCAGTTGAGATGAAGCAAAGACTGGCCCACACAGCCATCCAGATATCTGTGAATTCTTTAGCTGACCTGCTGTAGAGACCAGCATCGTAGCCACATTTCAGGACACAGTTCAAGCTTCTCTTCACCCAAATGTACTGATCTGAGTTAGACCCCATGCTGTGGCACTCTTCTCCAGGCTGCAAGGAGGTCTTGCTGTGAAGGGGAACCTCTTCATCTCCTGGGCCCTCCATGCACATGTGGTTGTGATCATTCTGGGGTGGGAATTTGCTGCAGTTTAGGCTGTCTGGCCAGGCAAATCCAAATTCTTTTAAAACGGGTTCACATCTTCTTTTGACAGAGAGGCACATGCCACCACAGGGACCTATGGGGATGTTAATCTTCTCTGTGCACATTGGGACGTAGACTGAACACAGGAAGAACTGGAAGAGAAAAACAAAAATCACAAGTGTGTCCAAGGAAAATTAGACAAGTTGATATATAACAAGTTTTCTTTTTTTGACTTTTTAGCAGTAATATTTGGTCTTTTGCCTTAAAAAACAGGAAGCAGCATAAAACAAATAAACTAAGAACAATAAAAACAAAAGAGAAAAAAATAACAATGTTGTCTTCTTCAGTTCAAATGTGGTCCGAAGCCAAAGCCTGAAAGTTTTACTCCCTAGATTAGCTCTATGTAAATTTAGCCCATCAGTTTCAATGAAACAAGTCGGATTTAGCCAGACTTGAAGCTCAAGGGTGCAATTTAAGAAAGTAGAAAAAAACAAATTAAAGCGGCTTAAACAAATACATATATTTGTTCTGGGCATTGTCTGGATATTCCAGTTAAGAAACAAATAGAAAAAAAAAAAAAGGCATTTGTTGAACTACTTTGATTCGCGATCCTCCTAGAAGAATGTATTTCTTTTACGATCAGTTCACGCATGTATTTACAACGGTAATGAAACATTGTAGTTTTCTCCTCTTTTGAATAATCGCAATTCAGCGACGCGACACCGTGAGAGGAATTGCGTGCGGACTCGGGAACTCTGCCCCATGAAACAAGTTGGGTTTTGTTTGATGAAATCCATGCCCGTGGGGAGGACAGCGATCTCGCTATTCGCTTGGGAAAGAAATTTCCGCGGTGAAGTTCCCGGGGGGTAGGGGGGGGTCCCAAGTCGCCACAGCTTCCTGCAGCCAGCTCCGCTCGTTCCGCGTGGAAGCGGGCGCGGCACCTGGGGCACGGCCGGGACAGAGGGCAGAGCCTGGGAAAGCTCTGGGAGCCGCTGCAGCCTCCGCGGGAGGGGGGCACCGCGCTGCGCTCCTTGCCGCGGGCAGCCGGGACAACGCCAGCTCCCTGTCCCTCCACCCAACGTGAGCCGTGCTCTCCCCAGCCAGCCAGGAGCGGCACTGCGAGCCGGCGGGACTTTCAGGTTGGTTTTGTACTGAGTCGAGGGGATGGGGATGAGGATGGGGATGCTGGGGGACAGCAGCCGGCCCGGGGACCACACAGTCCCGCTGCGCGTCTCCCCCACCTCGCCCGCGCACCCAGGTCCCCTCGGAGCCCCGACCCACCTGGAGCTGGCTGGAGCAGCCGTACTGGATGAGGGGGGTGAAGGTGGTGAGCTGCAGCTCCGCGTCCGCCTGCAGCTCGTGCCCCACCAGGTTGGGCATCTTGGTGACATTGTATCCCAGGTTCTGGCACATGGCGATGCGGATGGCGTCGCAGCGCCGCTCCTCCTCGTCGCCGAAGCCCCGCGCCCCGCCGAGCAGCCCTGCCAGCAGCACGGCCAGCAGCCGGGCGCGGCCGGCCGGCCCCCCGCCGCCCCCCGCCATGGCCCGCGCTGCGGCCCCGGCCCCGGCCCCGGCCGCGCCGTGCCGCACGGGCCGGCTCCAACGGGGCGGGCCGGGGGCGGCCCCGCTATTAAACAGCCTCGCCGAGAAACGGCCCAGGGGAGGGACGCGCCGCCCGGCCCGGCCCGCCCCGCGCCACCGCCCCCGCCGAGGGAGCCCGCCCCGCCGCAGCGCCCCCGCGGCACGGCGCGGCAGGGGAGGGCAGGGAAGGGGGTTTTACCTGCGCCCCTTATCCCAGCACCGAGGCGTTCGCCTCCATGGGGAACGCCGACCCGCACCGCCAGCCCCGAAAAGCGCACTTTCACCGTCTGCATCCCACCGCTCCTCGCAAGGACCCCCTCTCTTCCTTCCTGGAAACCCCCTACCTGCACCCCCCATCCTTCATTCCTTCATCCCTCAGAAACTCCGGGAAGCCTTGCCTTCTCTCCCCACAACAGGTCCCCCCTTCCTTCCGTCCCGCCCCTGGGGGACGTCGTCACTGTCCCCAGTGTTCCCACCATGCCTCCCCACCATGGGTGCTGGTCCCAGGGGTCCCGAAGTCCGGCTCCCCAGGGAATAGGGTGGGCTGAGCCCCTCGCAGATCTGTTGAGGCTCACCGTACCACAGCCCTCCCTTCACGTCTGCCCTTTCTTCAGCCCAAAGTGATCAGCTTCTTCACTCAGGTTAAAAATACACGAGGTGGCTTTCTAAGCTGCCACTTTGTCTTCCTAATGGCTTAAACTGCACTGCTGGGTCACATCTGAGCTTTAGCATTGTTTGTTTTTTCACTGGGGCCATGAAACCCATAGAGCACTGCTAGGTACCTCCTGGATTTGTATAAATCCCCGTAAAACAAGTAAGTGTGGATGAAGCATTTGTGAATTTTGGAGGAAAGGGCTGGATGATCAAGCAGACCTTTAACGTGTCAGCAGAAGGAGGGATTAAGAGGAAAGAAATGAGACTCACACTTAAATTCTCTTGCTATTATTTACACCTGTAATAAAATCTGGTTGAGCTGGTTGTGCCTTTAGCAAAAATATGTCATCTATTAATGAATTGTTTGTAAAGCACTTTGAAAATATTTGTAAAGCCCTGGTTAAGCGACCTCTTTACTGTGTGCTTACGGCATGTGGCATGTACATGTGCTCCTGAGCGTGTCTGTCCCGGGCAGCTATGCCTCCGAACGCACCTTGGGGCCTTCGCTTTTCCCCGACATCCCCTGGCCGCATCGCTCAACTAAGACTAAGATTTACAGACTAAGGCAGCTCTCAGCTATGGCTCCTTACAGAGCACGAGATTGTAAATCACAGCAAAGCCCATGCTATGAAGTGCTCTGTGCTCACTCACTGCGGGTTTCCCCTCTGAGGCTCCGTCACCATTGGGGTTTTCTTCACCTCTGAAAGGGGGGAAACGTGTGTGAGTTGTACCATGATGTTGTGGGGACTGATGGGCATTAAGTGTGCTTTCCTCTGACAAGATGGATAGTGCTATAACTGAGGTTTCATGAGCATAGGTATTTACACAGCTCTCATCGCTTTACAGCTAACTCCAATAAACAGTGCCTCTAACCTCACAAAATCCTTGTGAGGCAGACAAGTAAAATTATCTTAACTTTTTAAACACAGAGGCAGACAGTGCTCCAGTCCCAAGGTCAGGCAAGGAGTCTACGATGGAGCCAGCAACTCAGCTATATCTTGCAAGGCCCATATTTACCCACGAACACTGCTGCCCGTACCCAGCAGTGCTCAGCTGCTAATCTGGGTGGATGATAATGCTGTGAACACACACAGTGTGCTGCACATGTCCCAGCACCGCCAAATTTACCATCTACATCATAAAAGTGTGGGGAATGGGTGATGGGTGCTCTCCACACAAACACCTGAAAGCAGACTTCCACTGGAGAAGGTTTTGGTTGGTTTTGTTTTGTCCAAATTATGTAGGAAAGAAGGCTGGAGGGAGAATCATGGTGACCATAAAAACTATGCATTCTTGTCTTAGTATATGAGACCTCTTTGCATTTGCAGTCTCCTGCTGCAGTTAGGCACTGAAGCAGAGTTTGCTGCTATCAAAATAGGGCTTCACCTAATTCCCACCCTAAAATCACCTACTGCATATTCAGAAGTTACAAAAAAAAGCCCTCAGCCCATGGACCTGGTCCTTGGACTCAGTAAAGCTACAGTGGACACAAGTACCTTTGTAGAAAAAGAACTCTCCCTCCCAAAAGAAAACCCTACCACTATTGCCTTTTCTTTGAGAATGCAAAATAAATATTAGAAAGTGCTACACTGCTGTGTTTGCTTTGGAAAGTCTTTTAGATAACAGGAATTAGTTTTCAAAACAAGAGTGCTGGGAGAGGCAGTGGCAAATCATACAAGAGGTCGGAGCTGGAAAAAATGGTAATTACCCTGCTTTGAACCTTATGCATATATTAACAGTGATTAAATCTCACCATGATAAGCATGTAGATAATAGTTTCCTTAAACAGATAAAAATAAGAAACCTCCTTAGTAGTGGATTTATAGATTGTGAAATTACTGGGCAGTGTGAGACGCTGGACTGAATCTGGCCCAGCATAAGCCGTATTCCTTCCTCAATTATTGGTTGCCTGATTTACAGTATATTTTTTTCCTAATAAAACTGATTTTGAGGGTTCTTTAGTTAAAGAATCATCAGCCACCCTGATTATTATTTATTGCTGCTGCCACTAATTACATTTGGGTTCTAGTTTGAGTTATCTTCAGCTTCCAGCCACTGACTTTTGTTCTATCTTTGCCAGACAGATTGAGAAGTCATTACTGAGATTATCCCTGTAGTAATGTCAGGCTGTGATTATGTCACCCTTTGGCCTTTTCGTAGTAAGTAGAATAGATTGAACTTCCTGAGTTTCTTATTGTAAGGTGTCTTTCCCAATTCTTTAATCATACTTTTGATTTTAAAGGAGCAAGATTTGACCTTGCTGTTTGAATATCACTTTCAGCCCAAACTATCCTTTATGATATTAATGAATGTGTCTGAATTAGAAGCCTAAGCACCCCTGGTCCTTTTAGAGTCAGCTAGGATAGGCAGACACTTGAAGAAGGCAGTTCACATAATAGGCATTACATGAATACAAACTTATTATTTTCTTGTTATTAGTATTTCCCCCTTAAGTTTGTATGGGTTTTTTTTGCATATTTATTAAAGCTACGAGCGTATTTTTACACTACAAAAATAAATAATGCTTACCAGCATCTCTCAGTCTTCCATCATCTTGCAGGGTATCTGAGGAGGTTCATAGCTCTTCTCTGAACATTTTCAATGCATCAACATTTGCCTGAACTGTAGTATTAGAACATGGCTCAGCTTTCCCATTGGAGAGACACTCATGTCAAAAGCTCAGTCCTATACAAGATGACCTTGCTTAGACCTCCAAGGACACGATCTACCCCACAGCCTCACGTGGAGATCCAGGACCAGTGCCTTGCAGGCAGATCTGAGAAAGCTTAGGCATCTTGTTGGTTTTTTTAAAAAAAAGTGGATACCACATTAGGATGTGATTATTTTAACCAAATAGAGATGTGAGCTTTTGGTCAGATGAATTTCACTCTACAAATGCCTCTACCTCTCAGTTGACTGTAGAGGGCATGTAGGATGACCAGCCCAGAGGTGAAAACTCACAAAGAGGTGTCTAGTGCTGGATGAGAACAGTCCCTGCCTCCCAGCCAGTCTCCTCAGACTTGGTCAATGACAGAGAATATTGATATTGCCTTTCAAAGAGTTCTTCTAAAGATCTTGGATACAAGCTATCTGAGCATGCAGGGTTTTTAAAATTTGTAACTTCTAGAGCAATTTTGTGAGCCTGAAATTTTAAGAATGCATTAATTACTATTAGTTATCTCTATTATACAATTCATATTTTTTTTTTCAATATACAACAAAAATGGCTGTTACCTGTTTTGTTTACTGATAATTCTACAGCTTCTCTTAAGTAACAGACCCCTACCATTAGTGACTTTCTCTTGGTCTCAGTTTACATATAACAGTATTGTCTTTGACTGTCTGTCCATTAATTTTTTGGTTTTGCATATTTTATCACATTCTTGTCATTCCTTTTGGATTTATATTCCTTCAAATCAATGTTTCCTTTTTACTCTTTGATGTTTATGCTTTTCTTAAACTTAATTAACTTTATAATTGTTTAAATATTAATAAAGGTTTTTTCTTTAATTTTTCCATCTGAATTCCAGTTGAATTTTTAAATCAAGATCCTCTTTCTCAAAATCAAAACCTAAATAAATCATTTTCTTTATTCAATCTTTTCAAGCATCTAGTAATATATTTTAAATGGATTCTTAGTTACCATTCACATGCTTAATATAAATTCTCTCCCTTACTTCTGTACTTCATGAGGCTGACTCTTTTAAAGCAGGAAATAAATATTCCCCAATATGCATTTATCCTGCTGTATTATCATCAGCATTTCAATTGTCCAGTAACAACTAGAAAAGAAATTGTATTGTCACGACACTTTCAGTGAACATGCTCTACTCAAACTCAGAAAAAAACCCAGTGCAGAGCTGCTTATGTATTTATGCATCTATCTATCTATTGATCTATCAATCTATCTATGTATAACATAGATATCCATATGTATAACATATCTATCTATGTATAGATAGATAGATAAGTCAATAGATAGATCGATAGACAGATACACATGCAAGTACATACATATATATATATATAGGGTTTTATATATAAAGTATTCATAGAATCATGGAAACATTGAAGTTGGAAAATACCTTTAAAATCATCAAGGGCAAACACTAACCCAGTCCTGCCAAGCCCACCACTAAACCATGTCCGTAAGTGCCACATTTACATGTTTTTTGAACACTTCCAGGGATGGTGGCTCAATCACTTCCTTGAGCAGCCTCTTCCAGTGCTTGATCACCTTAAAAGTGAAGAAATATTTCCTAATATCCAACCTAAAGTTCCTCTGGTACAACTT